TCCGGATAGACTCGGTGGTTTGGATGCCATGAAATCCTTGTATTTGCATCCACATCCGTCATTTCCTCCATCCTGGTGGTTTCGCCTAACTATCGGTGGGTTGGCTTGACCAACAGTCCCACTGTAGTTTCCTCCTTCTGACTGCCCATCATTCAGCTCGGGTTGTTCAATTGGTACCGTAAGTTCTTCTCGATTTTGTTGAAGCAAACGCCTTGTTTCCTCCATTTGGCGATCCAACATCATATGGATCATCGCTTGCACTCCGGCCATCGTGATTGGCTCAGGTGCAGTTACTACAACAGGTATTTGTTCAACCACTGGGGGCTGTTGATTCCTATCTCCATTCGCATTCCCGACTCCACTTCGGGTTCTAGCCATTTTGATCTATACCCCAGATCAGATGTTCGGTGCGAAATGACGACAATTAAGATAGGAAATATTTTATTTACGATTGACATGTAAATCTCATTATTACTCCGAAAAATTACATGCCAGTTCTAATACCGTAATTAAACGTTTAGAAATCTGAACACATAAAATTTCCAGATTCGGTCGGCAACAGACCATAGATCCGATCAAACAATAGCATATAGCATCACAAATCATTTAGCACATAAAAGCATTTTAGGCATCCTCCCTAATTAAGCTAGTGCTTGTATCTTTTCAGATGTATTACCTAAATCCACTAGACACACTCCTCACAATCATTGCTTAGCATTCTAAGTTTAAGTCTAGAAATAAATCCATATTTCTAGTTCACTTAAACTAATGCTCTGATACCAACTGTGACATCCCCATTTTCACGGCCAGAAAAGACCGATTTTGTTTATGCTTTATAAAAATCAGAGTATCTCTTTTAGTAAAAAACGTTGCGGAATTTGTTCCCACTAAAACATGATAAATACGTTATCAAAGCATTTCCGAGGAAAAGTATTTTCATTCATTTTAAAACATTTGGGATGTCATCGTCAATACATAAACATAAGCATAAACAGAACTTACATTCATTATCGCTAGTGATTTACATCTCCTTAATCTCTCAGTGTAATGTGACATCATAACAACACCTATGATATAAATAAACTGAATGGGTCAGGTTGGGAAACCTGGTGAGTACATAGGGTTTTCAACCCACAATAATATAATTATTATGTTTAAACAATTAAGCAATCAACCCAATTACCCATCCCCATTATCTTCTTTATTCTTAAGGATCTACCGTAAGAATCAGCTATTTCTCGTTCACTCATTCCTAAGGATCATCCTAAGGAATCGGCACAAAGTCCATCGTTGCCACGGTTTACACAACGGGCACTAAGTCTGCATAGTCGCCAGGGTTTAGGCATCAAGTCTGCATGATCACCAAGGTTTAGGTATCAAGTCTGCATGATCACCAGGGTTTAGGCATCAAGTCTGCATGATCACCAGGGTTTAGGCATCAAGTCTGCATGATCACCTAGGTTTAGAGTACACTGGGTGAACACGTCGTTCACAACACCTACAGGTTGCGAGCCTGCTAGTGTTCCACTGGACTGTCTAGAATAGTCTGTGGTTGTCATCCATACTCTGCTGAATGACGGGGCCATCGTTTGGGAAAAGGCTTCTCACATTGTCCACCTCTCACCCTCACCTCGTGGTCTATAACACCTCTCAACTCATCATCCAACTCATATTCCATCTATTACATCTACCCATATTTTACCCCAACATTATCGTAGATATAAAATACATATACAGTTTAAATCATTTAAAACATGTATAAAATCGTTCATCTAGCATAGACAGCAAGTACTCACATAATATGCACACATAGCACGTAATTTATATAAAATACTTCATATCTATGTGTAAGATGAAAGTAACTATACACTCACTTGATTAGATGGTGAATCCGAACTCAGACAGCACTTCGTTATCTCAAAACAATTTTCCTCGACAAAACCTAGTATCAATACCAGTAGGGTTTAGTTTTTAACGTTAACCGCGACTAATTAATAGTCTAGCTATTATTACTATTATATAAGCGTTAAATAACACTCAATACAACTCATAATAATAACCCAAATAATTATTTTAAGGTCCTAATAATGTTACTATAATTAAATAAAAGCTATATTAAATATAGTATAGGCGTAGCTCACTTACAGCGGGTTTTTATTAAAAATCGGGCTTCGCTGGAGCAGCGTTTCCGAGCCGAAAGCTTTTCTTCTCGGAGCCGTCGGGCGCTCCGGGTCTTTCTTCTCGTGCTAGGGAGGTTCCGTAGACTTGGGAGGGGTTTAGGGAGGCTAGGGAGAAGTTATAGAGAGAAAGAAATGCTTATGGTGTGAAGAAATAATGAAGGGTTCACCCTTTATTTATAGGGATTTTATAGTAAAGTAGCCGCTAAGTTTCGACTGTATCTTCCGCGTACGAGCTCCGTTTTCTACGTTCTTTATATCCACGCGTTGGTATTTACGAGGACTACAACTTTCATTTAGACCTCGTCGGCTAATTCTCCTTCTATCTCAGATTTACAAAAACTGTATCGTATTTATCGCGCTCGAAGAGTAGCGACTAAGCTTCGTCCATATCTTTCGCATACGAGCTCCGTTTCCGACGTTATTTATATCCAGACGTTAGTATTTACGAGTACTACAACTTTCATTTAGACCCCGTTGGCTAATTCTCATTCTATCTCGGATTTACAAAACTGTATCGAATTCGCCGCGCTCGGAAAGTAGAGACTAAGCTTCGTCCATAACTTTCGCATACGAGCTCCGTTTTTGACGTTATTTATATTCACGCGTATGTAAAAATAAAATCTACACCTTTCCTTTTTACTCCGTCGCTAATTCCCGACCGATCTTAATTTTAACAGTAGGATGAGATTATACTGTTAAATGTCCGCGTAAAATTCATAACTTCTACATACAGACTCTGTTTTCATCTGTCTTTTTACCGTTGAGTTCCTATTAATGAGATCTTCAATTCTCATTTAGGTCGCGTGGGCCAAAAACCGCTCGATCTAAAATTCAAGTTTCGGGTTGTGCACTGCTAAGCCAAATCTTAGAAAATTCATAACTTCCTCATACGAAGTCAGATTTGGGCGTTCTTTTTTTTGTATGTTCTTGGTTTAACGTATACTAAAACTTTTGTTTTTATTTATAAGGCTAAAAAATTCTCCATCGTAAATTCACTATTTACGTCTCCCAGTGTCGTGTCGGTTTAGCTGTAAAACTTTGACGGACCATAACTTCTTTGTTATAACTCGGATTTCGGCGTTCTTTATATGTACAGAACCCTTGAGACGTATTCTACAACTTGGTTCAGATTATTTATTCTAAATAATCTTTTGTTGAAAAGTAATTTTCGACCCCTATTATCTCTAAATTGACTAGCCCGGATCTACGGGCGTTACATCTGTGACCCCTGTAATTCATCTAAAAGCTCGTCTATCAACGGTATGGGAAACTTGTCTTTAATCGTAACCTTGTTAAGGGGCCGATAGTCAACGCAAAACCTCCACGAGCCATCCTTTTTTAACCAACAACACGGGGCTAGCGAAAGGACTTCGGGACGGTTGGATGATTTTGGAGTCGAGCATGTTGTGAAGCAATCTTTCAATTTCTGCTTTTTGGGCATGAGAGTACCTATAAGGATGAACTGTCACCGGTCCAGTTCCTTCCTTCAAATTAATGGCGTGGTGGTGATTCCTTAATGGGGGTAGGCCTCCTTTCCAAGAAAAAACAAAAGCATACCTCTGTAATATTGGAAGTAGAAAGGGAGGGCAGTCTTTATGTGATTTGTGGGTTGTTGGTCCTCCACTTGGTTCAGCTGGACCCATTATCCCCCTCCCACAGAGCTAATGGTTCTAATCATGGTTTTTAGGTAAATTTTTGCCCTCTCCAGGGATGGGTCTCCCCTGAGAGTCACCCCTTTCCCTTCTATTTGAAACTTCATTACCTCCGATTAGTGGTTACCGCCCCTAACTTCTACAACCATTGGATTCCCAGAATTACGTATGAATTTCCCAAGGTGAGAGGTGAGAAATCCTCTCTAGTATCCAGCCCTTGAATATGTATTAATACCCTTGGCAATTTCCTTTTCCGGTCACTGATTCTCCTGTGCCCAGAGAAACCCCAAACCCCGGAGTAGGGCTGACTGGAATCTGTAATTGATCTATAGTTGCCAAGGAAAGGAAATTGTGAGTTGCTCCCGGATCAATGAGTACCACGACTTCTGTGTCCCTAATGATTCCCTTCAGTTTGAGGGTCTTAGGATTGAGGTTACCAGTGACTGAATTCAAGCAGACACCTGATATCAACGGGGATTGGGTAGTGTCCAAGTCTGCAAATTCATTGGCTTCGTTTGGCGGGTCTTCTTCCCCTGTTTCTACTTCTTGCATTAAAAGTACACTGAGTTCCTTCTTCTTGCTTTGATGCCCTGCACTCCATTTTTCGTCACAAAAAAAACAAATCCTTTTTGATCGTTTATATTGTAGTTCTTTATCCGACAATCTTCTCATTTCCCTGCCTGGTTTGCTGGGATTCTTAATCGTCATGGTTGGGGTGTGGGCTGGTACCGTAGAAGATCGAGGGGGAAAATAAGTGGTTTTGAGCGGGGTTATCAGGGGTGTTCCGGAAAGGGTACCTGATGTGATAGTCCGAGGAGTGACAGTGGAGTGGGATGGTTTCCGATTGAGTTGGGAATTAAGCTTGCGCTCGACTTTGATGGCCAACGTCATAGCGTGTTCCACTGATATGGAGCTCAATAACTGGACCTCATACCTAATTTCCTCGTACAGCCAGTTGATGAATTGGCCCAAAGTGATGTCACCGGGTACGTTGTTTAATGGGGCAAGTAGTTCAATAAAGGCTCGTTGGTATTCTAAAAACCGACCCGGATTGAATTAGGGCTAACCACTACCGGTGTAACGTACCTGCATTAACCGGACGAAACCGGCGTAATAGGAGAGATTTCATCTCATCCCACCGCGTCACCGGCCGGCGAGTGTGCTCCCACTAGTACCAAAGAAGGGCGTCTCCTTCAAGAGCCACCACTGCTGCCTCCATTTTATAGACATCTGATAGTCTGTAGAAATTGAAATAGCATTCCGCAAGTAATATCCATCCATCGGGGTTTTCCTCATCGAAGAGGGGCATATCGAGTTTCGGAAATCGCCAGTTGGTCCCTCTTGTTGGTTCACCATTATTGGTTCGGCCGCTGCCACCATCGCTACTACCTCCCGACCCACCTCCGGCACTGCTGCGTGATCCCCCAGTGGATTCTTTTAGTGTTTCCAAAATGGAAGAAACAGGTTCGGACTCCTCCTCTTCTCCTGAATTCTTCCCTTTAATTACAGCTCTCAAAACCTCTTCCAACTTCTGGTCCATCTTTAGCTGATTTTGGTCCATCTTCAACTCGATGGAAGCTATGGAGTCCGCCTGATGTTGGATCTGATTGCCTTGGATCTCCAAGCGATAATACAAGACACCTAATGCTGACTCCACCGATTCAACCCTCTTGAGTTGAGCTCCTCCAGCCTCTTTCCAACCACCCTTTTCTCCAGCCATAATCCCAGGTGGTTGGTTACTCTGATACCAATTTGTTATGAACTTAAATTCTCTCAAGATAAATTAACACCACAAACTGTTGGAATCACAATTCTTCTGGGATTAATGAACGAAAACATAGATTACACCACAGAATGATAAAGAAAAAGAACGAAATAGAAATAGCAATTCGAGATGCTACAGACTCCCAGAGAAGTAGAAACTTCTAACATTCTTCCATGCCTGTAAGGACGTAAATTTTCAATGAAATTTTTCAGTTTTAAAACACAATAAACCACATGTCACATTTTCTTAAAACTCACAAGTAACAAATTATCAACACATTTTAAAAATCGTTTATCAAAAATCTAGGATCCTCCAAAGACATATCTCCAACTCGGATGTGTGTACAATCAAGTCGGCGGCTTCCCGCGATACTGATAAGACCTGAAACACATAACACATAACATGGTAAGCACGAAGCTTAGTGAGTTACCCAAAATACCACATATATCTCATTAGCAACTCGAGGCTATAAAGTTGTAAGACCCTCCGGTCTATGTGTCTCAGTGGGACCCCTCCAGTCCCACGGCTCGTTGTACTCTCCGGTCCGATATGGTTGGGACCCTCCAGTCCCATGGCTCGTTGGACCCTCCGGTCCGGTCTCAGTAACACATAATATAGAATATATCACACAGAAAAATGCACAACTCAAGTAAGCACATAAGACCTTCCGGTCACACATAAATACCACTCTAGGTAAAGTATAGTGAGAAGACTCACCTCGCAAGCAGGTGAGAAAATAACCTCGCGCTCGGATCTCGAACTAGCATCTGCCTAACATAAAGGATGAATATCTCTAATTAATACTCTTTTCACAACTCAAATAACTAAAGCCTATTCTTTCTCTCTCTAACTCTTTGAAGTGGATAAAAGACCATTTTACCCCTCCATGGTCTCTATTACTCATGTTGACCAAAACCCCAAAGTCAGCAGAAATCAAACTCGAGTCAACAGTCCATGTTTGACCTGACTCGTCGAGTGCACTCTTGCGACTCGTTGAGTCCCCTCGTATCCTCAGAAGTCTAAAAAAGTCCAGATCAACTCGTCGAGTTGACCCCTAACTCGCCAAGTTATTGCACAATCAACCAATTGGGACAAACCCTCACAAACTCGTCGAGTCAGGCTATGGACTCGGCGAGTCCCTTCGATCAGATTCCTCATTCAAACGATTTAAGGTAGATCCATCACTCCAAACACTAGATCTACCATCCTAAGGGTCGATTGTCACGTAAAGCTTCAAGATTTACATTTAAACATGGCATATAAGACTCATGATGCCAAAACATGCTCCCACAAGGGCTAGATGCACAAAAGCTAGACTCTAGTTCAATAAAGCTTGGATCTTTGGTCTCTCAAGTCCTTCTACAGTCCAGATCTGACGTTTCAACCTCATAATATGCTCAAGTAACTCATTTCCAAGAATGGATGGGAGAAAACCCTCAAAATCTCCTTAAACTAAGATCTCACAAAGGAAAGGTCAAGATAGGAGCTTTTTACCTTTGCACTGGAGCTAACCACTGGAGAACCGTGGATCTACAGTACCTCCTTGATCAAACACACCAAGCTCTCCAAATCTCTTTCAAAGGATGCACAAAACCCCTCAAATTAGCTCCTCACTCACTCTCTAGCTCTAATGGCGATTAGGGTTTTCTCTCAGAGGTGTAGGGTAACTGGTGAGGCGTGAATGGGGGCATAAGTTCCCTTATATAGGCCCAAACCCCGAGAAATTAGGGTTGGTTTCTCTTCCCAGACCCTACTCGGCGAGTCAGTTCTCTGACTCGTCGAGTCCACTCATTAATTCCATGTGAACAACTCTACTCGACTCGGCGAGTTGGACCCTCAACTCGTCGAGTCTCTCCATAAATCTCAAGATTAAAATATACAATATTGTACCTGAAAATCCATATGTTACAATTCTCCCCCACTTGAATTTGATTTTGCCCTCGAAATCACCCTTCAACAACACGTAGAATGAACCCAATAACCTGAAAAGCACCACTAGAAGGATCTCATACCACTCAGATATCTTTCCCCATGGACACCTGAATCCAAACAGGAACTTTCAAACCCGGAATAGGATGGATCTTTCTGCTGCTACGACACCCCTTCTGACTCTCCAGACACTGGAAACTCTAGTGGCTATCTCTCTGCCACACCGCGCTCTCAATATATCGCCATGATAATTGCTCCTTGAATAACAGACCCCGATAACTCGCTGCCCCTCCGATTCTCTCGTTGTGACAGATAAACCAAGATAATGCCCAAAAATCGGTTGTCGATCACTTAACCCCGATATATTAAACAATCCAAATCATACTCAAAGAAATGAACGGATCACATCACACCAGGGACCCATACACTGAACTGTAAACAAAACCCATCTGAATGATGAACTCTATCAACACCCTGCCCTCAGACACAAGAAAAGATCATGCTTACTCAGCAGTATCCTCCGACATCTAACAAACATAAACCCCAGATCCCTCCTCGGATATCCCCACTCAACACTGAGCACTAGGTCATCTCCCGTCCCAGCAATTGAACCTCTAAAGGTTACCTGGCATGCTCCAAAACGTCTCACTGAATTCCTTCTCATAATAACTACCTTGGCCCACTATGACACACAAGTCATGAAGCTCGCTTTACCCCAATCGATTACTATAATCCCAACTGAAATCGTCTCACCCTCGACCTTTGCCGTCAACCGCCCATTAGTCCCATGCGTCTTGCGGTTTTCCCATACCAATGAACTGACCCACTCAAGTCTAAGACACCAGATGAAAAAAATACCCCCTCCAAAATGAAATCCATCTCTTGAATCCATAATCTCCTTCCGCTTACTCAATACACCACTAGAATCAAACTCAACTCGAGAGTCTGGCCCGACACAGAATTGGAACCACTCGTCCCAATGAAACACTCAACTCGCGACCATGACCCGCAACCCACACGTACATCACTTCTTCGATTCCTTCCGATTGCGGTCTCCACAGCCTAACTCAGAATATAATGATTCCCGAACATTATGGAGACCTCCATCTCTTTCATGTTCTGGCCACTGGGTTCCCAAAGACTCGATCCAATAAGACTACTCAAGCCTAAGAAATCTCATGTGTCATGCTATGACTAACGAATAACACGGCTCCCCGCAGCACCACGACACTCTCTCACTGGCTAGTGAGTACTACAGCTCCCTGCAGCACCACGACAGTCTCTCACTGGCTAGTGAGTACTACGGCTCCCCACAATATCACAACACCTTCTCGCTGACTAGTGAGTACTACGGCTCCCTGCAGTATCACAACACCCTTTCGCTGACTGGTGAGTACTACGGCTCCCTGCGGTATCGCAACTCCCTCTCGCTGACTAGTAGGTACTACAGCTCCCCGCACTATCACAACACCCTCCCGCTGACTAGTGAGTACTACGGCTCCCTGCAGTATCACAACACCCTCTCACTGACTAGTGAGTATTACGGCTCCCCGAAGTATCACAACACCCTCTTGCTGACTAGTGAGTACTACGACTCCCTGCAGTATCACAACACCCTCTCACTGACTAGTGAGTACTATGGCTCCCCGCAGTATCACAACACCCTATCGCTGACTAGTGAGTACTACGGCTCCCCGCAGTATTACAACACCCTCTCGTTGACTAGTGAGTACTACGGCTCCCTGCAGTATCACAACACCCTCTCTTATCACCCCACAATCTCATCCTCAGGTCATTACTTAACTGCGTTCACTAACTCACGCTTCGCGGCCCAACATAGATAGGTACAAACACCTACCCAGGCTAAGCACCACTACTCCTGATGACCACTGTCGAGACAAAACACTTTTTCTTGCTGCAATTTACATTCTCAAGTAATCCCACTTGATGTCCATTAGCTGAAATGGATCCCACATGAACCATAGATACCTGATACGCCACTCGCCATCTCATAACTCAAGTCTCAAAATAATATGAAATTTAGAACATCATACTCGGATTCCTCGGTACACCATCACGAGACCTCACGATGTCCTGCCTCAACCACTGATATCCTACTTACGGCATCATACACAGATACAACAATGCATTCCTTCAGGATCTCATAACTCACCTTCATTTCACAAAACATGTAACTTCGGAATATTCCAACTCTCAATTGAAACACAGAAAAATCATCAACGACTCAGAACATGTGGACGAACATCCGAAACTCCCTCCTCTATTGCACAAAATCTCATGCAAGAATACCCATACCTAATCGGAAACTGGTTGCCCAATCAACTTCTACCCTTTCCAGAGTGCATATAACAACCCATACATTGAACCTGAAATTATCAACCGTCGAAACTATCCTTATGAGCCACCACATGGTCTTCGACCGACTGCCACCTGCTATGGAGACACTCATCCTTTCCTTAACACATACAACATGCATTATCTCGCTCTGCCCTCGCCTCGACCACCAATAACCCTGGCCTCATGTGTCCGCACCGTAGATTTCCATAACCATTTCTCTAACCGCACTTGAACGAAACACTGATCCCCTCAATAGAATACCCAATTCCACCCCCCCCCCCCCCACTCAGGCTTCGAACCATCACTGATTGGCATGCCAACAATCTATTCCATAGACTATTTCACCAGGTATGTCACACTTGACTCTTGAAACGTACTACACAATCACTCAAGGACCTTCCCAATGGAACCAAGCAATCTCCAAATATCCTGTCTCTGACCAAAAATCTCTAAATCCTCCCAACGCAAGAATCATCATAAATGCAAGAGACCTCACTCTCATAGCCGCTACACAACTTAGATAATGAAAGCCACCGCCCCAAAAATGCTCCTCTTGATTACCTGACACTGCTGCTAACACATGCCCTACTATACTCAAATAGGGTATATCCTCGTCCTTGATCACCCCAGTCACCACTGATGATCCTCTCTTACTATAATACTACCTT